AGTAGTAGTAGTAGTAGTAGAAGGACGACGCCTACTACTACGATTACTATCGTACTGAAACTCAGACAGCAACACCGAACAACATCATGCTAGAAGTTGCAACAGCAGCAAACATCGGCAGCGATAATAGTAGTAGCAATGGTAACCATAGCAGTAGCAGCCAGACATAGTGAGAACAAGAGTAATGGCAACAAGAGCAAGAGCAGTATCAGTATGTGAGCAAAAATGCCCACTCGCTATACAAGGCATTGTCGAAGCAGTACTGGCGACAGGGAGAAGCAAGATCCATGAACAAGACAGCCATGATGGTACAAGTAGTGTCGATGCCTGCAGTAACGAGAAGCTAGCCATTTACTTGTAGCGAACATCAGAGTGATGAAACAACAAGCCAAGGCCATATGCCACAGAATTAGGCTGCTCTTGTCAGGTTTTGGCATTCTCACCTTCTAAGGGATGAGGCTCGTCGAGGTTTCAAGGTTTCGGCATGTACATGGCTCAGTTTGGGGCTCAAAGTCCACCCAAGCCTTGGCAGCACCCCTCAATTCGCAACGCCTCGCAGGCAAAGAAAGAAGAGAAGAAAAAGGAGACCTACACAGTGAAGCTGGCAGAGCCCCCAGCCGCTGAGACAGGGACGCTTTGAGAGTCCCGGAGCATAAGAATTCCTATGAGGGTCCAGTTTTTGTTCAGAATAGTCTTGAGGCTAGCTTTACTAGCTTTCGGGCGCCTTTGGGGGCTCTTCACATGAGCCAAGCTATTCAACAACGAACTGCTCTTCTGTTATGAGACCCAGGGCTTCTCTGGGTTGACTGAAGGTGGCTTAGGATGATAGAGAGGTCCTGTCTTGTTGGGCGGCCATCTTATTGATGAACTTCGTTGCAGAGGCTCCTTCCCGGAAAAAACCCTCTTCACAGCTTCCAGCCTTGCCAGTTATGATTTTTTATGATTGTTGATGCAAACATATGATCTGTACGAAGGAAGCTTGATCGGTCTTTCCCGTTGTGGTATTTGTAGACTTGCTGCTGTCGATGTTCCGTTGGTAGGTACTGTTGCTGTTGTCAATTTTCATTGCCTTTGCTACTTTCATCATCTTCTGCATCTCTGACTACTCTGCCATTCTTGTTAGGTTCCGGCATGCCCAAAACCCTATAACCCGGTCCCTTACCCCAAAACGCTCAAAAACCAAGCTCGCGAAGCTTAATTTGTAGGCTGTCAAAAGGGAGAGGTGCAGTCTTAGGTCGCGTTGAGTGCGATCGAACGTTTAGGGTGCAGAGCCCACGGTATAGGGCCTAGGGGCGCGGGTCGAGCACAGAAGAAGATTATTGTTCTGTTGAGGGTGCCTATGGCACAGTGGTGGTGATATTGTTAGTGAAGATGATGCGGTGCGGTTGATGGTGATGTTAGTGATGTTGGCAAAGTCGATGATGCTGCTTCCGATGGTTAATGAGGATGCTGGTGGTGGCGGTCATGATGTCGCGACGATGAGAACGCAGTGGTGGTGGTGATGATGACAACGACGACGACGGTGATGATAATGGCGGCGACGACGACGATGCTAAGGATGAGGATGGGGGTGAGGACAGAGGTGATTCTCAGGAGTGGTGTAGGCATCAGGAGCTGTGTTGGCTCCCGGTGTCCTCTCGACCTGCATTAATACGACCTTCCCTAAGGTGAGCTTCGACACAGCGAAAAAGATCAATGTCGTCAAGGAGGCGGGCACACCTTTACAGGGTTTCAAGGCAGTTCTTAGTGGTAAGTGCAACAACAACTTGCCTTCACACAGGCGAGGCAGCACGTGGTATCACGTGGTAGAAAGGTAGAAGAAAGAGTGTAATAGCAGCATATTCGGATGCATGTACTGGATGCCCAGGCATACGACAAGTCCTTTGCCAGCCTGTGTTGAAGTTTAGCTATAATATGACCACACACCGTGCATGATTGTATCCAGCATACCGTGATGTTCGCCGAAGCTCTCTTTTGCTTCGCCATACATTGGCTTTGGGTCATTTGCGAACCTTGGAAGCTTGTAGGGTTCAGGTTTTAGGGTTATGGCTGAAAGCTTGGGGTTTTACAGCGTTTAGGATTCAGGGCCTGTGGGTCTAAAGCGCAGGGTTGTCTTTGTGGGGTTTGGGGTCTCGGGTTCTGCAACTGGCAAAGTCTCTGCCCCATCTTGCAATACTCTCAGCTTTTGCAGCCCGGACAAGACAGACCAGCTGGTCGCACAGGTAAGTCTCAAATCCTTTTGTTCAGAGCACCACGGGGATGACGTCTAGGGTCTAGTCCCTTCGATGCAGACTCTCATGGACAATTCCAGCTTCCTTAGTTCATCTTCGTTCGCTCTGAGGTGCTTCACTCATAGTAGACGAGCCTGAAGAATGAGTACGTCTGTCGCCTGATACACCCACACAAATACAGTGAACAACACCAAAATCACCATTTTGGTCTCGTGTTGTTTACTGTGTCAAGCGCCGGAACAACATTGCTTATAAGACCCTGCAAACCCGAAAATCTGGACCTTGTGGCCCAACCTATAAACCCCAACAGACCCCCAAAACCCCCGAATCCCAAAACCTTCAGGCATCCTAAGCCCTCGACCCTGAACCAAATGCATCCTAAGCCCTGTACTAAACTAGGCAGCCGGAAGCACATATACCGCTGCCTAGAGGTCAGGGCGATCACGGGAGCAGGTCTCAAGGAATCCAAGGCGGCGGATTTTCAGACGCTGTTGTGCTGGCGGGTTCCGAGTTTAGTTTAGGGTCCGGGGTTTTTCTGCACGGAACCTGGAGTTGTTGGGCCAGAAACCCTAAACCCCTAAACCCAAAACCCGAAAGCCTAGACCCCGAAGTACGTGTTTTTGAGGGCTTTGGAATTGGTTTCAGAGGTTGAAGTCTTCGGGGTTCGTTTCGGCAATGAGCTGGTTTGTGGCTTTAGGGTGCGGCCCCAGCCAACATCGGGTCGAAGGTGGCGGGCTTTAAAGCCCGCTGCCGTAGACTGAAGCAGACATATCGTTAAATGGTGCAGATCTAGAAAAGCTGCCTGTTCATGGCCCTTGTTGATGGGACTCGTTGGGAGACTGCTTCCGTTTCGTGCCAGGAGCTCGTGGAGTCAGTTCCTAAAGTGGCCACGCCGGCACACTTTGCTTTTGCAGAGCTTGGACACTTCTTTGTTTCGCTGCGGAAGGCTTCGCTTGCTGTCTCAACGTGTGCCCTTGCATGGCTGGGGGTTGGAGATGAGGAGGCAGCATATCAGCTTCTCTGTATACGACATTGCCTGAACTCCCCAGGTACCCCCCAAACCTTCCAGCCCCCCGCACGAACTACACCACAAACATGAATTGATTTTCAAGGAAGGTTTGTGACGTGTTTGGGATTCTAGGCATGCTCGATCACAAGATGTAGCAAATAGCCTTGGACGACATGTTGAACCGATTGGGGGAAGGAATGTCGTATGGCATCTGCAGGATCAAGAACACAACTGCCCGATGTCCTTCAGGTTCCAAGATCCTGCTCTTGGTGAGGAGTTTCCTCGTAGATTGCACAGTCTGACTCAAGTTGTCAGTTTGCCGCCGCGCAGTTGTGCTGGCTGTGTAGCGCAAGATCTGCAAGTCGTAACCCTGGACAATAGAACCAGAAAGCCCAAACACAAAAGAACCCTGAACACCCAATTTCAAGCCTGCTATGCTCGCCAGCTCAAGAAGGGAGTCCCAGCAGCGGAGGCGGAGGTGCAAGGGCATACTCTCTAAGTGTTTTTAGGAAGGGGCTCCAGGTTTGGGGGGCTTCTAAGTGAAAGGCCCGGCCATCCCTTTTGTGCGCTGCTGCCCTTAAAGTTGATGCTTTTGCAACCGAGGATGTAGGGCTGCAGCTTTGATCCTCACGTCTCTGTCCTGCCTGGGCTTAATGACTTCCAGGGTGCTTCAACATGCTCTGCCGATGAAGTAGTATATGGGCCTTAATAATTTACCCATACGATTTTGGGGGTTCCTTATGATACATATAGTATAATGTACCCCAAGACCCTATTCTAATTATTAAGGCCCCTATATTAGGAGTCACATGGTGTTAAATCCAAAGAATCTAAAGATGAGGCGCTCAAAGAGAAGGTGGCAGCCGTGGGTGGCGAGGCACCGGACTTGTTGTGGGTTTGGGATGTACGGTCTAGCCTGTATGGTTTGGGGTATGGCTTTGGGGCTTATAGGCTTAGGCCCGAGGGCTGACATTGGTGCATCATCATGCCCAGGTAGACAGGGGGTTCGTCGCACAGACTTTGTTGAACTGCCTCGTCCAAGATGACAGACTGCACTGTTGCAACAGAAAGTCAATTTCCACAACGCTCACACACATGCACGCGCACGCGCGCACACACGGACATGGTGTGGGTAGGTGGCTACATGCACATACATAAGTGCATACATACATGCATACACACAGGCAAGCAGACAGACAGATGCAATGCAAGCAGGGGAGCATGGCAGCCACGCGTTTATACGTCCATCCGTCCATCCGTGCCGTCACGTATGCATGGTGGTAAGACCAGCATATGTGAAGTGATTATGATTACACGGTGTGACAGCATGCGAAGCAGTATCACGTCAATCAAGCCCGTAAGCACTAAACTCCTCAAGCCCTTCGGTCCTAAACCCTTCAACCCCAAGCCCTAAACTCAAACCGTTTCGCCAAGATCGTCCTGGAGTGAGCGGCTCCGGGCATGTGTCCAGCCCACTTCTTCGCCTTGGGCATTAGGGGGTTTAGGGTTTCAGGGTTAAGGCTTAGGGGTTTAGGAACTAGAGATTATAGGGTTGCAGAATTAAGCGTTCAGAGCGTGATGTGATTTAGGGAGCTGGACTTGCGCCTTGAACGCCTTCTGTCAAATATGTTTCGATCTTTTCATGGGCCTCCTTTGCGGGCCCTCATAATCAGAGACGCGTAGAAGCATCCGCAGCGGCAGGCCAACATGGCCTGATTGTAAGAGGACTTTACTACTGCCACAGTACGGCTCCACGTGCAGAAGCCCATGAACGAGGATACGCAGGAATATTCTTGTGTCCGGCTCCAGTTTAAGCTAGCCTATCTTCTTGAGACATGGAGGTTTGAATTGTGTTTGCAGTTGCGTGGCTCTTGCCCTGGAACATCCGACCTGAAACCTAAGCTCAAACCTGAGTTGAACAGAGCAAACAGCAACGAAAGCTTGGCCTTCAACCTGAAACGCCAGGAACTGCAACTCCTTTGGCGAGTTGCTATACGAGTAGCTTAAGGTCTATTCAAGTCTAAGCCCTGAAAGGTTCGCACAAACGTGTGGCCGACAGCTTCATGACGGCACATCTCATTCATGGCTGTAGCTTCGCTTCAGCTGTACTTTTTCAGATCTGGCCTCTGCGGATTTAGTTTGCTGGCATAAAAGTTGCCTTCACGACAACCGACGCTCGTCATGCGCAGAAAACGTCCCGGTCGGTGGAGCCCATGCCCAACTTCTCGGCATCGAATTGCTCTGCAAGCAGTTTCGGGGAAGAACGCAAGGGGTTTCAAGTGCATGCCTGCCGGGATCCTTGCGCCCCAGAAGTCTGGAAGAGCGGTTCTTCGAGCCCTAGGCTCCGACTCTGGCACTTCCATTCCGTTGCTTTTCTTCCAGCCGCGTAGTTGCAGCGCCCGCCGCCAACCGGGGCAGACGCCCCGGAGGAGGCCCGGAGCGATGACGGTCGGGCGCTGAGGGCTTGAGTTCCGCCAGCTCCTGAAAAATTCTCTCTGCCCCGCACCTCATAGCAACCCCTCAAGGGAGCCCCACATATCATACAAAGCCCTTACAGCAAGCCTTGCAATTGCTGCAAGCATCCTTTCTTAGAAGCCCTTATGGCCCCTCATTCAGGCCCGGGATGCGCTGACCATGCTTGGGCCGCAAGCTGGGAACGTCATGATCGCGCAGTACAAGCAGCCTTTGCCCGAGCATATGAGGGTTGCTATAAGAGTTGCTATCATGAGGGACTACTATAAGTTTACTTTCGTTTTTTGGAGGTGGGGTTCATGCATTGGATGGGAATACTCCCGGTGCTGAGCTTTGTATTCGTCGGTGTATGTGTGAAGGGGGCGTGAGCAGCAGTCGGACTCGGGCGGGAGTGCAAGGGTAAGAACACAAGAGCATCAGTGGCGGCGATCTTCGTGCTCGTTGTTCCGGCCGGTGTCCGCTCACGACAGTCTCGCATGCTCTGACATCGTGGCTCCATTGCGCAGCCGCCAGTTTTCTGGCCTTTCCTTGGTCTTGAAACGTCGAAGTCGCTTCGGAAGGCAGTCTGGGTCTTGCAAATATGTAAGTCAGCCAAAATCCCCAAGCGTGCTGCTCGTGGTTTACTGATCGTCAGAACTGAAACTCTTGAGGAGTCCTCTGATCAGTGCGATGTAACTCGAATCCGTCAGGCAATCTCGGACAAGGAACGCTGGTTACTCCTGAACCCTGGGCCGAAGCACCATATCGAATCAGCATAGGCACGGTTTAGGGTTTAGGGTTTAGGGTTTAGGGTTTAGAGTTTAGGGATATTGACCCCTATAGGCTTTCCTTATAGCAAACATACTCCCCTATAGAACCCCCCCGTAGAGTAACCCCCTTACATACTGTAAACGCACCCCAAAACCCTGAACCCAAAACCCAAAACCCAAAACCCTAAACCCAAAACCCTAAACCCTCAGCTCTAAACCCTAAACCCCTTATATACGGTAAAAAGAACGCCTCTTTGAGGCTCATGGAGAAGAAGATCGAAGAGCATGCCGGCAACACGCCTCAGCCTCAGGGCTTCCTTCTCGGATCGAAGTGCCAACGCTTTAAAGGGCTACCTGCCTGTCGGTTTGGGGGAATAGGGTGTAGGGTTTGGGATTTAGGGTTTGGGGTTTGGGATTTAGGGTTTGGGGTGTAGTAGGGTTTGGGATTTAGGGCAAGGCGTTTAAGAGTATCTTGGCTTCTGCGATGGGGGGGGGGGGGGTTGGATGAGGGTGAATCACCAATACAAGTCTGAGTAATTACCAATGGTATTGCTTCGGCTGGCTTCGAGTTTGCGGCGAGACCTGGTTCTGGCACCGATGCCTGTGCACGGGTTAAACCCTAAACCCCTAAACCCTAAGCTCCAGCACCGGTAAGATCTAGTTTCATTTGAAGGCAACAATGACTGGAAGTAGCTTGAACGACCGACCCATGTCTAGTTTAAGAAGCCCCCAAAACCCTATTCTGATTTTGAAGGCCCCCCCCCGACAAACTTTATGCTGGCAGTTTTTTGGGTTCATGTGCTTATTTGGGGTTGGGGGGCTCGGGGTGTCGCATCTGGTCATCCCGGTCATGCGCCCCTGAAGCCATATTCTCTAAAGCCTAACACCCCTGAACCTTAACTCTTAATCCTACCATAAGCCCTAAGCCTAGGCCCTAAACCGTCAACACTTAAGGTTTAGGGTTTAGGGTTTAGGGTTTAGGGTTAAGCCCTAATACTTTCCGCACCGAGGTGCTGGCCGGTCGAATGGATGCCAGAGCCGCTCTGCACCGAGAATGCTGCGGGCAACAGCATCTACTTCCGTCTGCAGCCGGGGCCTCAAACGGTGAGGGATGCCTGGTTCAGGGGATTTGGACTCTGGCGTTTTTGCGGGTTCAGGGGTTTCGGGTTTAGGGTTCAGAGGTTTCGGGATTAAGGTTTTAGGGACTTAGGTGTCTGGGAAGCAGGTTTCAGAGCTTCGGGGTTTCGGGGTTCGGGGTTCAAGCTTAGGACTGTAGGGGTTCAGGCTTGAGGGTTTTATGCTTCATTGGGCGTGGGCTTTAGGGACAAGGCTTAGGGCCGTTAGCACCTCGTGACCTCGACGGGGGGAGGGCCGAAGACCGCGTGCCAGGCACAGGTGGATGAACTCAAAGCCCAATGGGGTATAGGTTGCAGATGAATTCTGATGGTTTACTCTGGGTGTAGGCAGAAGGTCAGGGAGTTCGGATCTCTGCAGCCCTGCACCTGCCGGCCTGCGAGGGCTATGGGGGACCCGCTTGGCTGCATCGCATGCGGCTCAGGGGAGGATATAGCAGATTCAGATCCTAAAAAAACAGATCCCGATTATAAGGATTTACTTACAAGGTAGTCTGATGGGGGTGGCTTTGCACAACTTGGTCCAGGGTTGTGCAAGTTTGGGGTTTGCGGATAGCATTGCTCGGGCTCCTTTGGTCGGGCTGTTGTCGTGGAGTCTCACATATGTGTGTCCTGCTCAACAGGGATGTTGTGTGGCTCGATCTACGGTTGAAGTCGGAAAGAGTACGGAGTCTTTGATTCATGCTTCTACTCATGGGGTCGACAGGCATGCTGGTGACTAGTGCGCATTGAAACACGCCGTAAAGCGAAGCACGACACAGCCCACAAGAAGCCTAAACTTGCTCAACTGCAACCAGCAACAGCCACCAGAGCATCCATGTAGGAATGGGGAAACAGCCTCTTCAACATGCCCTCGGCAAAGTCTTGTGACAGTTACTCAAGAGGAAAAGGAACACGGACGAATCGAACACCAATGCCACAGGACAGACGGAAGTAAGCGATGCAACAGGCGCAGAAACGCAAGTTTGTGCGCAGCTCAACGAAAGATGATACAATTATGCTGCCAAGGATGGAGGCAAGTGGCCACCTGCTGACATGTCCCAGGTGGAGACGGAGGATGCTTGGGGCTACAGAGAGCCTTCGTGTCTTCGGGTGATATATATATATATACATATGTGTATACATATATGCACATGTACATATGTACACATATGCAGGTACATGTATATATGTATATACATACACATGCATATGTATATATATATATATACACATGTACATGATTATATATGTATATGCATATGTGTGTATATATATACACTCACAGCACGTATAGAGTTTGACGTGTCATTGTCGCACATCGCTACCTTGGACTCGGACAGATGGCCTTCACATGCTGTTTCATCACAATCTGTTGCCGACAGGTTTCACAGGGGAGCCGAAATCCGACTGACTTTGTGTTGCGACTTGAAGCATGTGGGTTCGATGTCGGCAGGTCTGCAGAGCCCTTGAAATCGATCCTCCATGAAGCAGTGTGTTTTTGGAAGGAATTTATTCGGGGTCACGGGACTTCAAGTTCAAGGGGATCCAGTGACTGTTCGGTGCCGGATGTGGCAAAGCATCACAAGGCTTCAGCAACTGAGGAACGACCAGCAGAGTCAATCGTGAGCGCCTTCCAAATCCCGAGGGTACATGCACGAGAGGGCAGTCTGCAGAGGAGTAGCTGTTGCATCGAAAGGAATCACCCACCATGATCATCATCGTCATCGCCAACATCATCACCATCATCAGAAACCCGCAAATCCTAAACTCAAAGCCCCATCATCAGGAACCTTGTAGTTCTGCACCGCACAGTCGGATTTCACGTCCGAGGTGCTGGTTTTCTCAGACAGCTATGGCTACTGCAAGGACATCCTCCAGCAGGCCAGTACACTGCGGGTTCGGGGCAAAGATTGAGGCCTGTTTTGGGGCAGCACCATCGCGGTTGCGGCATGTGAGCCCCGCGCCACATGCTGGAGAGACCACCCAGTGCGCTGAATTTTGTGTGCTGGCTCTGGCCGGCCTTGCTTCACCGCTCTTGATGAGCATAGCAGCAAGAAGAGTACCTCTACCTACTACCAACTCCCAGCAGCGAAAAGTGGTGGCAGCGGATGCTGCTACTGCAGGTATAGTAGCTACAAAGAGCAAGAAAACGATCGCAACAATAATCCGAAACATCGATAGTTGCAGAAATGCTGAGGTGTCAGGTAGTGAACAGTGTTTTGCGCACTTGAGGATGTAGCTGAACCGTATCACACGCACACACCCACATATGCGTGTGTGTATATATATGTATATATATATATACAGATATATGCATTTACATTACTGCATGCGCATAGGCTGCGTTCGAATAGAACTCCGTGCCTCGAAAGTTGATGTGTATATATATATATGTGTGTGTATATATATATATGCATATGGTAACCGCCCTGGACCAAGCTCCGCCATGATTCTGATCACGTCCGTACTTGTGTTGGTGTAAACCGGTATCGAAAGCCCTGTAAATACCGACAGATGCTGTGTCGGTTCTTACGGTCTATATGAGTCATAGTACAGTTTCAAAGAACATGATACAATTTCGTGATTCCATTTCTTGTGGTTGTACGTACTCTCCTGTTCTCTTTCACCATCTAGCTGTATGTTAAACATGCTTTCTTCTCAAGCAATACGCTCAGAGCCCACGCTGCTGCATTCGAAGCTTTGTTCATGCAAATGAAGGCTGCGCAGATGCATAAGCTCAGGTTCTCTCCTTTTAACACAAGGAGCAGAGATACACATGTAACGATCGCGATTAGACAGTCACTTGGACACTTCTATTCATCAGCCTCCATGCTCGCCGTTCGTCGAGACGAAGATGATGCTAGTGCTAGTGTTACTGTTAGTGTCGGTGTCGATGTACTCGCATATGTCAAAGTCAGTGTTAGTATTAGTAGCAACATAAGAAATTTGGGATGAGTCTTAAAAAGCCTGTAAATTAGTACAATAATGTTGCAGTGTTAGTGTTAGTATTCGCATTAGTCTTAGTCTTGGTATTGGTACGAATATGCGTATAGTAGTATAGTCGTATGTTAGTGTTTTTAGCATGTTAGTTTTTTAGTGTATTGGTACAGTTAGTATAGTGCTCTATAAGTGCATTGGCATATGAAAAATACTGATTTATATTGGTACATTGTTGCGTGCATGTTTTGTTATTTCATTCTAGTAGTATGTATATTAGTATACATTAGTCTATGTGTATGTGTATACTCGTACAAATATGAATACCGTATTAATAGGAACGGGATTATCGTATTAGCGTCAGTATTCGTGCTAATGTTAGGATTAATATTGGTATTGAAAAACGGTGCGACATAAGTATTGAGAATAGTTAATGAAAATATGAGTATTACAATATGTAGGAATAGTAATACTTCCATCAGTAGTATTGGTATTAATATTACCATCAGTATGTATGTTGGTATTTTTC